GAGCTCAGAATAGAACCGCTGCTCCTCCACATCGAGAGGAGCCAGCTGAGGTGGCTCGGGCATCTGTTTCGGATGCCTCCTGGGCGCCTTCCTAGGGAGGTGTTCCGGGCATGTCACACCGGGAGGAGGCCCCGGGGAAGACCCAGGACACGCTCTCGGCTGGCCTGGGAACGCCTCAGCATTCCCCCAGAGGAGCTGGAGGAAGTGTATGGAGAGAGGGAAGTCTGGGCATCTTTGCTTAGACTGCTGCCCCCGTGACCCGGTCCCAGATAAGCGGAAGAAAATGGATGGATGGATGGAATTGAATCTTGCATCTGTTATTTACAAGCAAATTATTTAAAACAATATGTATTTCTCTTCATGTTAATATCTCTTTAAATACAAAGTGTCCTAATGTGAGCCATGTTAAGGCCTAATTTCCATAGAGGGTGGATGGACATTCCTGCCTGTTTATCATATTATAGGTGCCGTTACTGTTGTCGATTTATTAGTGTTTTAAGCTGACACCATTTGTGAACCAGGACCTCCAGTATTTGGATCACTTAGCTTGTGAAAAACCATCTGCAAAAGTCAGTAGAGTGCAGCTGTTTTAATGTGTCAGATATGTATCTATTTAATATCTTTGTTATGGTTTAGTCCCCCTCACCAGGAGGGCGAGGGAGAAGCACGTATTTCTGTATTGCTAACTGCATAATTAGTGTGATAAGGTCAAGCCAAAACGCACACAGACTGTCAGCGTAGCATCTTACACACATCTAAAAACATCTGTGTCAAACACAACATTTGTAACTTACATAGGGTAAGTATTGTCCATTACATGTCGCAATGCTCCAGCGACGACGGGCTCTGCCAGAGGTATAAATAAGGAAGCCAACAAATCACCGGAATACGCCTCAGGTGTTCGCACCGACCCACGAGTCACTAATTACCCGATGCGACACAGCTGAGGCGTTGATCCCGCAAAAAGGGAGAGCAGGAGAGGAAAAAAAGAAAGAGAGGCAGGTCGGGCTGAGCGGACCTGACAATCTTTTGTTGTTGTTGTTGCTGCTGTCTCCATTTCTGGTTTTATGCTGGCAATATGTGATTGAGATTAGCAATTAATCAGTCAGCAGTGTAGTGTTTCTGTCTTCTCAATCAACAAAAAATACAGTTCTCAGTTTTTTAAAGTTATTTTTAACTTTTAAAACAAATAAATCAATGAAACCCGATTATTTTCCCCTTAATTGTAAGTTTTTCCATTTGTTACTCTAAAAGAATGATGCAAAATTTAAAAAAGAATTGCTTATTTTGATACTATATGTATTTACTGTATTTGTTACTAGTTTAAAAATTTGTACTGGCAATAATTTGGTGAGTAGCGTGTGATGACTTTTTTAGAACTTGGACTTGACTCAAGACTTGACTTGAGACTTCATAGTCAAGACCTTCTCCAAACTCTGCCCCATGTCACTCTTTTATTCCTTGAGTTTTCAGTTGTGTCAACAATCTTGCACCACACTCCGCTGTATCACTGATCTGCCTCTAGCACCACTGTTCCATGTCAGCCTGACATTTTGTGTGGAAAATTAACTTAATTTTCAGTTGGCTTTCTTACAACTGCTTGACGAGTGTGTTTGCTGCCAGGTTAGGTTAAGCCTGTAAAACATTTACACATACTTGACAGATTAAAAATTAAATGAATAAAACCAGTCAGTGCCTTATATTCATTCATTCATTTGAATGGTGCAAAACTTTCAAAATAAAGCTAAATATTTAAAAGGTATAAGGTTTAGAAAAATTCTTAAGACAAGCATGAATGTCCCTGAAGAGCTGAATATCTTGATACCTGAAACACCTCTGAAAGTATGATGTAGAATTTTCCCATTCATTTGAATCAGGCAAAACTTTCAAAATAAAGCTAAATATTTAAAAGGTATAAGGTTTAGAAAAATTCTTAAGACAAGCATGAATGTCCCTGAAGAGCTGAATATCTTGATACCTGAAACACCTCTGAAAGTATGATGTAGAATTTTCCCATTCATTTGAATCAGGCAAAACTTTCAAAATAAAGCTAAATATTTAAAAGGTATAAGGTTTAGAAAAATTCTTAAGACAAGCATGAATGTCCCTGAAGAGCTGAATATCTTGATACCTGAAACACCTCTGAAAGTATGATGTAGAATTTTCCCATTCATTTGAATCAGGCAAAACTTTCAAAATAAAGCTAAATATTTAAAAGGTATAAGGTTTAGAAAAATTCTTAAGACAAGCATGAATGTCCCTGAAGAGCTGAATATCTTGATACCTGAAACACCTCTGAAAGTATGATGTAGAATTTTCCCATTCATTTGAATCAGGCAAAACTTTCAAAATAAAGCTAAATATTTAAAAGGTATAAGGTTTAGAAAAATTCTTAAGACAAGCATGAATGTCCCTGAAGAGCTGAATATCTTGATACCTGAAACACCTCTGAAAGTATGATGTAGAATTTTCCCATTCATTTGAATCAGGCAAAACTTTCAAAATAAAGCTAAATATTTAAAAGGTATAAGGTTTAGAAAAATTCTTAAGACAAGCATGAATGTCCCTGAAGAGCTGAATATCTTGATACCTGAAACACCTCTGAAAGTATGATGTAGAATTTTCCCATTCATTTGAATCAGGCAAAACTTTCAAAATAAAGCTAAATATTTAAAAGGTATAAGGTTTAGAAAAATTCTTAAGACAAGCATGAATGTCCCTGAAGAGCTGAATATCTTGATACCTGAAACACCTCTGAAAGTATGATGTAGAATTTTCCCATTCATTTGAATCAGGCAAAACTTTCAAAATAAAGCTAAATATTTAAAAGGTATAAGGTTTAGAAAAATTCTTAAGACAAGCATGAATGTCCCTGAAGAGCTGAATATCTTGATACCTGAAACACCTCTGAAAGTATGATGTAGAATTTTCCCATTCATTTGAATCAGGCAAAACTTTCAAAATAAAGCTAAATATTTAAAAGGTATAAGGTTTAGAAAAATTCTTAAGACAAGCATGAATGTCCCTGAAGAGCTGAATATCTTGATACCTGAAACACCTCTGAAAGTATGATGTAGAATTTTCCCATTCATTTGAATCAGGCAAAACTTTCAAAATAAAGCTAAATATTTAAAAGGTATAAGGTTTAGAAAAATTCTTAAGACAAGCATGAATGTCCCTGAAGAGCTGAATATCTTGATACCTGAAACACCTCTGAAAGTATGATGTAGAATTTTCCCATTCATTTGAATCAGGCAAAACTTTCAAAATAAAGCTAAATATTTAAAAGGTATAAGGTTTAGAAAAATTCTTAAGACAAGCATGAATGTCCCTGAAGAGCTGAATATCTTGATACCTGAAACACCTCTGAAAGTATGATGTAGAATTTTCCCATTCATTTGAATCAGGCAAAACTTTCAAAATAAAGCTAAATATTTAAAAGGTATAAGGTTTAGAAAAATTCTTAAGACAAGCATGAATGTCCCTGAAGAGCTGAATATCTTGATACCTGAAACACCTCTGAAAGTATGATGTAGAATTTTCCCATTCATTTGAATCAGGCAAAACTTTCAAAATAAAGCTAAATATTTAAAAGGTATAAGGTTTAGAAAAATTCTTAAGACAAGCATGAATGTCCCTGAAGAGCTGAATATCTTGATACCTGAAACACCTCTGAAAGTATGATGTAGAATTTTCCCATTCATTTGAATCAGGCAAAACTTTCAAAATAAAGCTAAATATTTAAAAGGTATAAGGTTTAGAAAAATTCTTAAGACAAGCATGAATGTCCCTGAAGAGCTGAATATCTTGATACCTGAAACACCTCTGAAAGTATGATGTAGAATTTTCCCATTCATTTGAATCAGGCAAAACTTTCAAAATAAAGCTAAATATTTAAAAGGTATAAGGTTTAGAAAAATTCTTAAGACAAGCATGAATGTCCCTGAAGAGCTGAATATCTTGATACCTGAAACACCTCTGAAAGTATGATGTAGAATTTTCCCATTCATTTGAATCAGGCAAAACTTTCAAAATAAAGCTAAATATTTAAAAGGTATAAGGTTTAGAAAAATTCTTAAGACAAGCATGAATGTCCCTGAAGAGCTGAATATCTTGATACCTGAAACACCTCTGAAAGTATGATGTAGAATTTTCCCATTCATTTGAATCAGGCAAAACTTTCAAAATAAAGCTAAATATTTAAAAGGTATAAGGTTTAGAAAAATTCTTAAGACAAGCATGAATGTCCCTGAAGAGCTGAATATCTTGATACCTGAAACACCTCTGAAAGTATGATGTAGAATTTTCCCATTCATTTGAATCAGGCAAAACTTTCAAAATAAAGCTAAATATTTAAAAGGTATAAGGTTTAGAAAAATTCTTAAGACAAGCATGAATGTCCCTGAAGAGCTGAATATCTTGATACCTGAAACACCTCTGAAAGTATGATGTAGAATTTTCCCATTCATTTGAATCAGGCAAAACTTTCAAAATAAAGCTAAATATTTAAAAGGTATAAGGTTTAGAAAAATTCTTAAGACAAGCATGAATGTCCCTGAAGAGCTGAATATCTTGATACCTGAAACACCTCTGAAAGTATGATGTAGAATTTTCCCATTCATTTGAATCAGGCAAAACTTTCAAAATAAAGCTAAATATTTAAAAGGTATAAGGTTTAGAAAAATTCTTAAGACAAGCATGAATGTCCCTGAAGAGCTGAATATCTTGATACCTGAAACACCTCTGAAAGTATGATGTAGAATTTTCCCATTCATTTGAATCAGGCAAAACTTTCAAAATAAAGCTAAATATTTAAAAGGTATAAGGTTTAGAAAAATTCTTAAGACAAGCATGAATGTCCCTGAAGAGCTGAATATCTTGATACCTGAAACACCTCTGAAAGTATGATGTAGAATTTTCCCATTCATTTGAATCAGGCAAAACTTTCAAAATAAAGCTAAATATTTAAAAGGTATAAGGTTTAGAAAAATTCTTAAGACAAGCATGAATGTCCCTGAAGAGCTGAATATCTTGATACCTGAAACACCTCTGAAAGTATGATGTAGAATTTTCCCATTCATTTGAATCAGGCAAAACTTTCAAAATAAAGCTAAATATTTAAAAGGTATAAGGTTTAGAAAAATTCTTAAGACAAGCATGAATGTCCCTGAAGAGCTGAATATCTTGATACCTGAAACACCTCTGAAAGTATGATGTAGAATTTTCCCATTCATTTGAATCAGGCAAAACTTTCAAAATAAAGCTAAATATTTAAAAGGTATAAGGTTTAGAAAAATTCTTAAGACAAGCATGAATGTCCCTGAAGAGCTGAATATCTTGATACCTGAAACACCTCTGAAAGTATGATGTAGAATTTTCCCATTCATTTGAATCAGGCAAAACTTTCAAAATAAAGCTAAATATTTAAAAGGTATAAGGTTTAGAAAAATTCTTAAGACAAGCATGAATGTCCCTGAAGAGCTGAATATCTTGATACCTGAAACACCTCTGAAAGTATGATGTAGAATTTTCCCATTCATTTGAATCAGGCAAAACTTTCAAAATAAAGCTAAATATTTAAAAGGTATAAGGTTTAGAAAAATTCTTAAGACAAGCATGAATGTCCCTGAAGAGCTGAATATCTTGATACCTGAAACACCTCTGAAAGTATGATGTAGAATTTTCCCATTCATTTGAATCAGGCAAAACTTTCAAAATAAAGCTAAATATTTAAAAGGTATAAGGTTTAGAAAAATTCTTAAGACAAGCATGAATGTCCCTGAAGAGCTGAATATCTTGATACCTGAAACACCTCTGAAAGTATGATGTAGAATTTTCCCATTC